CTGGTACACAAAAGTTCAGAAATGAAGAAAGAAAGGCATGGAGAACAGAAATATAGACGATAATTACACGTTTCCCAGCAGCAAGTTCATCTCAGCATGGTCTCACTAGCTCGGTTTCAATTCTGTACTGCAAAGTTCTTTTTTATAACTGGTAACACAGGGTATATTTTCAGTCATATGAAAGTCCACAGAGTAAATAAGGATGTACTGTTACCTATTGCCTCACAGCACAGGTAACTTATTTAGTCACAGGGAGAAAAGCAATGGACTACAGCTATGAGAAAAGAGCTGCAGATTTCCAAAATGGCGCAGCTCTGCGTGGGCAACAGAAAGAGCACTGCAGTAAGGAGAGGAGTAGGAATGAGAACTGAGAGCAGCTCACTCTATGCAAGAAGACAGAGCTGGATAGACGGACAGATACTCCACTCAGTAGAGAAATAAAACATGACAAATAAGGAAGGGAAATGTGAATGAAGCCACAAAGAAATTCTACAGATTCCCACCTGTGTTCTCAATGTTAACAGTGCATCCACATTAAGACGGTTAAAATTAGAAGTGCTCAAATCTTTTTCTCTCCATTTCAGCTCTCTGACCATACTACCAAGCATTTCTCACCCAAAGACTGAGCTTTTCTCAAGCTGTTTTGAGAAAAGTGGATGAATCTTAAAAATACCAACTGAAAAAAAATACAATACTGTGTTTTGCTTTTGCAAAACAATAATGCAAGCCTCTCCAGTGAGTTGGGGGCTGCTGATCTTTCATTAATCTTTAACTTTTTCAGCAATCTGTCATTTTAAAGGACAATATAACTGATCACACAGCACAGGTGTTCCTTTGTCTGAACAGAAATAGAATCATATGTAAAGGACAACAATATTGTGAATTCAGCCGGGTACATGTGATCAGAGGTGATCACAGAGAGCAGGTGGGGATTAAACAGGTTTAAAGGGCTGAAAACCTGCAGAGTAACTGACCTCGTCTGTTGCCTGTCTAGTCACAGTTGGTTGCATGGCAGCAAAGTTACACTTTCTGTCCTCTCTATTTTTCTCTGATCCCTCATTTTAAATGTAGATATAGACTGATCACACAGCTGTTGTCATTAACCTGTATTTATGTTGATTTTGTCAGATGACGTCACCATTTCTGTCCTCCTCCTTACCAGATGTTGGCTGTAATGAGCAGTTTTGTCATCAAACATCACATTAAAAAGAAAAACACCTTTTGACCAAAATTTGTTACAAGATATGACTGCAAATGGATGCATTTTTCAATCAGAAGAGGGAAGTTAAACTAAAGTTAAAGTGGCTGTTTGTACTTTGCAATAAGTTATGGATATAAAGTTAAAACTTAGAGGTGGCTGTAATGTGCAGTGAATATATGCTGTTGCCTTCAAACACAGGGCAGTGCCAGTCTTTGCTTCAGCTAAGGAAGCAGTCTCACATTCCAACAGGAAACACATCTGAGCCACTTCCTGCTTCCCCTGAGGAAGTGACAGGTCAGACAGAGAATGCGTGAGCCAGTCACACTCAAGACTAAAGGCTGGGTGATTTTCAAGAAAATACAAAACCACTTACAGACTTATTCTGCAATAGCTCAAGAAACAACACATTATCTACTTAAGTGTTAGGGTGTGTTAACACTACTCCTGGTTTTATAGGACTACCTGCAGCTGACACTATTAGCAAATTATACTAGTGCAAGAAGAAGCTTAAGTACAGAGCCTCCATAGAGATTGTTAAATCAAGGTTTTGGGATGTCCGTTTGTGCTGCTGCCAACATTTCCATGCCACCGTTTGTTTTTATTCCTGATGGTTGCTGTAACTGTAGACAGTTACCTGCTCATGTTTGCATAACTCACTTCCTCAGTGTGTTTAGTTAGCTTTACATGAAGGTTTAACAGTTTAAGATAAAAAAAGGATCCTATACACATTTCACAAGCTCTAATAATAGCACAAATGAAACCAAAAGGTTGAAGGTCTTCTTTTGTGCTCAACATTCATTGATTACTGAAATACAAAATGATGTAGAACATCTGTACACACCACATTAGGTGTATCTCCAAACAATGCAACAGTGATACTACACAACTAATAGCCCTCACTTCAAACATGAAAATAAGACCCCATGTCTCAATCAGATTTTCTGTCAAAATAAAGGTTGTATAAAAATGTATTTTAAAAAGGCGAGAGCAAATAATAGTGTCACACAATTAATCAAAATATTATCAAAATGGAAATATGGCCAAGTGTAATATCCAAATCGCAGAAGCTGCAATTTTTTGATAGTTAAAATGTGTGACACAACAGCATTATAATATAAAGTATCACAGTGCTGCAGAGATACCCAGAAGAAAACATGTTTTTAACCATATCGTGCAGCTCTAGTGTTGACAGTCATTAGGGAAATACAACTGTGTTTTTACAATGATTTCATGAATCAGTCATAAACAACTAAATGGTGGGGTTAGTGTATAATAAATGTATATCCTTAGTGTCCCTATGCATCCAGAAAATTCTCAAAACCTTCTGGAGAAAAGCCCTGCACAGGATCATCTGTACAACCACCCCAAATAAGCAACTCTGTCATATGTTCAGCATTAGTCATGATGGAAAAATGTAGCAATAATGAAGTTAAAAATCACCTACTTTGAACTAGAGAGCCTTAAAACAAACTATGCACATTTTATTTTTCAAAGCTATCTCCTTCTGTCTTCACTGCAGCCATTATTCATAAGATAGCAAGGGTGGTGGTGGTTTGAATGAGATCTGACTCCCCAAGATACACCCATTTACTGAGATTTACACTGGGCAGCAATGACCCATAGTTGCTCTGAGGCCACTGTCAAAACCTACACAATGCTAATAAACCCTCTGGCAGTAAGGAATAAATTGCAGCATTTGTATCGGGGCTCCTGCTGACAGGTAGGCAGAGTTTTTGCCCAATTATAGGGGGGGAAAAGGGATGAAGCAGGATAAGGCGGGCCACAAGAATAGACCTAATGAGGACGTGGTATGATTGCTGTGGGACTGGAGAGACACACGCTCATTTGTGCCTACAGCAAGTGTATTGGATTGGTAGAGAATGGCCAGAATGAAGTGGCAGAGAGAGCGATAGCGATGGATAGGGAGAGATAATGGAAGTGAGAAGGATTGATTCCTCACTCAATGTGAGAGCATGTGGGAGGAGATGAGATGCTGAGACTGAAAGTGGGAAAGAGAGATGGATACAGAAAGTAAGTGAGTAGTCAGTCCATCAAGTCAACTATCCCCTCACTCTTTTCTTTCCATCCATCCATCCTTCCTTCCATCTCACTCATAAAAACACAGCTGACAGAGACAGCACTCGGGGAACCATCCATAATGATGCAAGTCCTCAAAGAAGAGTACTAGCATTTACTAACCTGAAAAAACAGCACAAACACAACGGGAATGGAGTGCACTGGTTATAGAGAGTTTTCCATTCAGACAATTTTTAATGGACCTGCATTGTACAAGACTGAATAGAGATGTAGCAACTGTACATCCACATAAAAATCATACACCCTTATATAATCAGTGATACACTTTGGTGAAAGAAGTTGTTCATAGAACACGAGAGAATCGGTGCTCACTTGATGCAATGGATGCCATTGTATGCATAAAAAAATATTATCCTAGAAAAAGTTTTAAAAAGGACCAGTGTGTAGAATTTAGTGGGATCTAGCTGTGAATGTGCAGATTGCAACCAACTGAATACATTCACTGCCATATCCTACCAACAGATGAACCAACACTCACTGCCCAGCGCTGGTTTCTATTCAACTGCGAGGGATTGGAAGATTTCATACTGCAGTGCTCTTTAAGTGAGTCTAACTGTGTCGAGTGTGTCTTGTGTACAAGAGTGTTGTGTTGTGTTTTCTGGAATTCTCTCAAACTTATATCATAAATTTGGATTGTAACATCTTCTTATAAAACAGACTCTCAGAGTTGTAAATTATCTTCTGATTTATTGATCACTGCTGTTACTTTTGGAGCCGGGTTGATTTGAATAAAACGTCAAACACTTTTTTCCCCTTCTGTTTCAGCTCTCTCATTACATTCCTTTCTTCCACTTTCTATTAGCATCTATGTCTGTTCTCTGATGTGTTTTTCTTTCACTCGCTACATTATCTCTCATTCCTAGTCTTTCTCCCCCTCTCCTTCATACTTGTGTGTGAATATAGTAGTGTCTGTATCTACAGTACGTGTGTATGTGTGTGTGTGGGAGGGGAGGAGAGCAGCATTGCTGGCTGGAGGAGGAGGTGAGAGAGAGAAAAAGAAGCGAGAGAGGGAAAGAAACAGAGAGAGAGAGAAGCAAACCATTTACTGGAACAAAACATGCTGTTTCAATCTCATAGATAAGAGCCACCTACTCACCACCACTTTTTATCTCAAAGCAGATTACTCCTCATTTTACAAACTATATTATTAACCAAAGTTTTATGCATTATATTTATAATAAAAGTTAATCCTACCTACTACATTAGAGTTGCTACACCCACCCACTGTCCAGTGTCTGTATAGTGCAACTCCAATTGTTTATATTTTACTGCAAATCTACCTGCAGGTACAAATGAAATAACCTGAACTGATACCTCACGTAGGTGGCATTAGCTTTTTAGTGCTGGGAAAAAATCAATTACGTTGACTGTGATCAATAGGAATAATACCACAAATTAAGAGGTTTTGCATTTCTAACACAATCGCAGGGACAATGGGCTACAACAAATCCTCCAGGTCACTGGTCACTACTATTACATCACTGGGCACAAGAAATAAGCTGCAAGAAATACTGTTTCTTGAAAGTTGAGGATGTAAAAAGGGAAGCATGTCGCCATAATCCTGGCAGTCACCAAAAGTGGCAACAATGACACAGACCAAAATTTCTCCTGTAACAGCTCTGTAATACAAGGTCATTTGCTTCAAGGTGGTCAGTGGCCTTTTTTGAAAGAATAAGTGAAACAGACAAACACCCTTTGTTACCTTGACAACATCTGAACAAGTGGAGTGCTGCCTTATGTACTTATAGACAGCAGAGATCCCGGTGTCTTGTCGAAGTCAGTGAACTGCAGATGACAGCCTGAAGGCTCTCGGGTGACCCTGAAAGATAGACAGGAAGAAAATAATGATGTACATACTAGAGATGACGATCTGGCTATATTTTGAAGGATCAATATCAGCTTAAACAAAGCAGATCACATTCCAGTCCTTTCCTTACTGTCCTTAATCACAGTAGTTACTTAACTTAGTTAAGTTAGTAAAGTTAGAATAATTTCACCTTGAAGATTAGTCAAACTTAACGATCTAAGAATAAATTAATGCAGTAACTGTAAAGGAAACTTTAATAATACATTAATAAAAGTTAACCAGTTAATGTGACACCTCTAGCCTCATGAAATGCCCTATGCAGGATTGGAGGGTATCACTGAAATGTGCAGCAAGTGGTTAATGAGAAACAGATGAATTAAAACACACTTGTTCTACAAGATAAAAGGTAGAATGAGAATCTTGTTTAAATAAAATGGTTCACATTCTGTTCAAGATCTTAAAAGGTTCAGGTCAGCATTGATAAAATGACTTATTGTTATGATCAACCAATTTAGCATTCAACTTTCAAGAACTTGAAATTATAGTCAATTAATAATTTCAGCTCTACAAGAAACAGAAACTGGCTCTCTGGACAAACTGTATGGCCTCAACTATAATATCCAGATTATATTTTTCATTATAATGCAAACAGATACTGTGCATACCAGACCATCATCTCCATATTCCTCAAGACTGAACCTGTCCAAAAGCACTGGAGAGATGGAATTTGGTTTCAGTGATACCTCCTCCATTGGGGACTAGTTTCTGTTGATACCCTTATCTAAAAAGAAATAATCCCACTGAGAACAATGACGTGTTTCACAGCAGAGCCCTGATGAAAGAGGAGAACAGAGACAACAAGAGCCTTGGCTTTCCTTTTCAGAATACAAATTGTGAACTGTGACCAACAAAAGTGAGAGCATAACTTAATTATCTTTATTCCATTTCAAATGGTACAAATGGCTGAGGTGAGATATCCTGCACCTTGACAAATAAATTGACTTAGATTAACTTTAAAGCTCGTTTTTCTACTTGATCAGCTTTTGTTAGTAAGACAATCCATATTTTTGAGTTTAATATAAACAAATTAAATGTGCAAAATTTGTATTAATATAATGAAGCACAAGCATTAATTGCCACAGTCTAATAAATTGTATCCATTAGAGCAATTACAGTGCTGATCTACATTTATAATGTTAACCAGTTTAGTTGGTGACTAAGGTTAACAACAGTGAGGTGTATTCACAGCTCAAATAAGTCATCTGGCAGTTGATTATAAACACACACGCACTTCATTTCCTCTCCACGGAGGCTGGCTGGATTTCTTGGAGAAGTGAGCCAGCAGCCGCCAACTCTGCAGACTGCAGAGACACTTGTTATAAATTCCATCTGTGTGGTCCAGTGAATTCATTTGACTTGACTTGTGACTTCTACTCTTGACTACCAACTTTAACATTCTGCTTCCCACCAGATATTACCAATCCAGTAATTATCTTGTTAGCTCCAACCCATGGCGCCGGGGTTTGATAGATCTGACAAACACAATCTGTGCAGCCTTGACTTGATGTGATTGAGTGCTTAAGTGAACCAGCTTTGCCAAAGACAAATTCATATATGTACAACAATGACAGGCTAAGTAGTATTAACATGAACTGGCTATAAATTCAAACAATGTCTCCTGGTCTCAGCAAGGAATTGTTTCATGCAAGTTATTATTTTGGCAGAGCAATGAAGTCTCTCATATGATCAACCTGAAAGAAGATCTGATAGCCAAGACGCCATGCAGCGTATTGTCTTCAGTGTCTCATAAATTAGATTGCATCCCACTTGAGTTTCACATTTAGCTCCAAGAAAACATTGCATGCCAATAAAGGGATTCTAACAGCTAGTCTCCCGAATCATTACCACGTGTATTTTCAGTCTCATTCAACACCTGGTAAAGACTGAGGAAGATGTTTAGCAGAGGTGGTAAGTGATGTGAACGTAATATCCTCTACTTAATGTCATCTGCCAGCTCAATCACACATACACTGACATACATCATCTGGTGATCAATTTAGCTACTTGAGGATGAAATAAACTGTTTTTTAACTACCAGCAAAAAAGTGCTTAATATTTAGATCACAACAATCAACAGGATAAGCCCCATTTTCAGCCAGGGAGAAACTGCATTATTTTCTATTCCTAACTTCCTATCATAATAAACTACAAACTTGTTTTTATTTTCCAATCCTCAACTTCAAACTTATTCTAAAAACCCAATTGTATCTTCTGAGCCTTAACTAGTCAGCTAAGCTTCATTTTCATCTCTCTCTCTATGCCAGGCTATTAGTACAGACTGCTGAACTGAACCTTGGACCTCTCCGTCGTCTGTTTCTGCATGCTGGCATTCAGCCTAATGAGGCTTGCTAATGGTCCAGCCATGTCAATCTGGGGGAAAACCTTCTACTCTATGCAAACTGGAACACTTGTACATAGTCGCTCAGTACACATTCATACTCTCTACCACTATCCACAGTTGCTTAGTTGGTGAAAGGACAAACATAAGCCAAGCATGAGTCAACTTTACAACAAACCTCTGTCTGTCTTCCCATCATACTGTATCTCACACTCTTCATTCATCTTTCTCTGCCTTAGACAGATTTGCGGATGTTAACTTGGACTACTACAGCTGCTCCAGCCCCGTTACAGAACTCAAGGCAAGACAAACACAGTAAAACACAGAAAGAAAAACTGCTCGCATTAATGGCATACATTTTCACCACTTATACATTAACAAAAACAAACAAAAGGTCTTTTTTTGACCATTGTTTTCTGACAAATGAAATGAAATCTGGAGTCTGATTAACGTTAATGGCCGACACATTCATGAGCCACATTTTTAAGAGATAATAGAAGTGGAAATGAAGATACCAACTTGAATAAGACATACAGTACAGTGACTTAAGTGGACAGCCTTTCATTCCACCCCACCACTTATCCACTGGGACACTGGTGGTGGTGGCTGCTGCTGCATGGTCTAACTTTCAATTGGCTTAGCAAGGCCACACTCTCACAGGAACCTGTCTATTAGTCATGCTCTGTTAATATTACTAGTTAATGATTGTAAGCCCTGTTTCAACACATTTATAGTGCATCCTCAGTCTGTGGGTTCTCATGACTCATGCATGGGATTTAAATGTGAAACTAAAGACAGTTTGGACATGAGAAAATCCAAAATACTCTCAACGAGCTACACGACCTAAATATAATTCCCTGTTATATAATTGATTTATTACACATAACTAATTGTAGCATTCATTTATTCGTATGATTGCAATGGAATTAACAATTAATGGCATTCGTTTAATTAATTCATTCATTAATAAAAGCAACATAATCCAATCAAGCTTGTCCATGGAAGTACAAGAAGCTACTGTTATGACCAACACTGTGACGGGAAGCTGATCAGCAAGAGAATTAGGATGATTAAAAAGAGGCTTCTCTTAAAGCTGCTGAATGTTAGGAGAAAGAGAGAGGGCTGACAGATGACAAGGAAATACAGGTTTTGGAGAGCAGAGAAAAAAGGAGAAAGGAAGAAAATGAGGATAGCAAAACAGGTTGGAGCTGGTAAAGCCATAGTGTGGGCTGGCACCCTAACCCTAAACCTAACCCTAAGGCCAAAGCCACAAGCTTCTCCAGATGCTTTTACACCAGCCCCTGGAGCTAGGCAAAGGGCACCGTACTGCACTTTGAAATTAAAATACACACATGTCTAAGGCTGTGAAGCTGTGAAGTGTGAGGGCTCCATGAGAAATCAGTTTTGTTTGTCATGAAACACATCCTGGCCTCTTTAACTTGGATTTAGAGATTATACCCCCGGCGCCTGGTAAAGTCAAGTACTAATGTCAAATTCAATCTACAAAACATTCCATAAATCTAAAGTTTACAAGACCAACTGTTGATTTCCCTACTCTAATGCATTCTTACAGTAGATTTGAAGCATGTTCCAACCATTAGCTTTGGCTATAAAACAAGACCCAATGTAACAAAACAAAAGAAAAAGACTGATTAAGAAGAATGTGTACTTTGGCACAATTTTTTTAGGAGACAGCTTGACAATACAAATCATGCTGTGGTATACTGGATTCAGACAGAGCATTAGCTCAAGTTGCAGGTCGTAAAACAGACAATGTCCAGATGTCTGGCAGGACGCACAAGAAAGCAGAAGAGGATTTAAGTAGCTACTTCTCTTTCCAGTCAGCTATTGATGGCCATGGTTCCTCCTAGTTAAGGCTCAAACCTTTATTGGGAACCAATAAGGAATTTGATCCCAATTTATCTCTGAGTTTGTTTTTAAAGGGATAAAGTTTGCATTGTTGAATTTTTTTTTCTTAATGTTAACAAAGCCCACGAAAAGACCAAAACAAATACTTTACAACTTGTCTAGCCTGTCTGTAGCCCTTAGTGCTGAACCCAGGCGTTTCTAGAGAGCACACACACACACACACACACACACATTTGAAAGTTGATTACAGCATTTTTAAAAAGGCTTAGTAATTTCTTAAAACAGCATTCTTAAAACTACAAGTCATTGTAGTTTTTAGTAAAAAGTTTGTTTTTGCAGATTAACATATATTTGGTGTTCTGAAGAGTATTTATGGCACCTGGACAATGTATGTGGGACTGACTGAAAACAAACTACAGTCCCAATGTTTATTGTAAAGAAGGAACATCTCACCAATTCCAATGGCGTGTCTCATGTGTGTTTCCAGCATAACTGAAATGCTCGCTTGTACTATATATCATAAATTTTGTGCACCGCCATTTTCTCCTGAATGCCTGATTAGTACAGTGCATGTGCAACTCAAGACAAAGATAACAAGCAAGATGGCTAACTCCTTACCTATCATCAGGTCCGGAAAGAAAAATGTTTCATTCTTTTACCACATTTTTGTATTAGACAAGTGAGTTGCTAGATTTAATAGCCTGATGTGAAATGGGAAAGTGGGCAATCCTCATTATTGACAATA